AAAATGGACTTGTCTTCTTCGTTTCAGCCCTTGTGAATCTCATTCTTTCAAACCCTTCTTTTCAAAACCCCTTTTCTGTTCTCTGTTATCTCCTAGAGAGCTGTTGAAGTTGAGAGAGTGGAGAGTGAACTCTCCAAATCAAGGTTCAAAATATCGATACAGCTTTTGGTACTTTTTTTATTTTTTTCGCAACTGGTTCAGGGGGAGCCGATTTAGGCCTCCTCCACACCCTTAACCAGTCAAACTCCCGATACACCCACTGTAGGGGCGTATTGGAGGGGTCTTGGAACGATACGTATCGGTTGATATGAGCTGATACGTGTCGATATTTTGAACCTTGCTCCAAATTCATTTATAGCAAAAAAACGTATTGGCTTGCAATACAAGTCAAATAATACAAAATGCCCTTTTAGTTGATTTCTCCTTTTTGTCCTTTTCACTTTATTTCATTTTGTCTTTCTTATATGTCAGTCCCACTTTATGAGGAGGACAACCCAATAGCTAGTGAGTGCCATTTGATCACCATCACATGGTGCAAGAATCTATCACTCAACGGCCTCTGCATCTCCGTCCAAGGACCTGAGGGAGATAATCAATGCAACTGCAAAGCTGAGTTGAAGCCATGGTATTTCTGGAGGAAACAAGGTTCCAAGCGATTCATAGAGGAAGACAAGGCGGTGGATGTCTTCTGGGACCTTAAGGCCGCCAGTTTGAATGGAGAAACTGAGCCACATTCGGATTACTACGTAGCCGTCATATCTGAAGATGAGGTTGTATTGGCGATGGGAAAAGATTAGATGCATTTCGCGAGCGTATGAGGATGATGGATATGGTTAATGGAGTTAGATTTATTGGTGGTTGTAATGGTTGATAAATAAAATTAGATGATATTTGAAGGGCATTTGTGTCCTTTCAGATGCCACTTAATTAACAATTTTGTTTTAAATTGACATATTTTGAAAGTTTAGATGCTAAATTGGCATCTTTTAAAGTTCGGGGACCAAATATAATTTTAGGGATGCAAAAATTGTTTTTGTTTTAAAAAAAAAACAATGTTGTTACACCGTAATTGTTTTCTTGAGTGTTTTAATTAAAGAAAAACAGAATACTTGACATTTGAGGGGGTGTTCGACAAAAATGATACAGTTCTTCTAATGATGCATTTTTTTTGAAAAATGATTAATCAATTTTTTGGGTGATGGCCAATCTTTTGGCTAAGTACCTCGTCACTTGGTCTACTTCCAAGTGGCCGATGACTCAGGCCAAAGTGGAGAACTTTGGCTACCGGGCTGAGTCGAGCTGGACAGGCTAGGTGTCGAGCTGCCTGTGAGGTGTCGGATTGACCAGGTGACGAGCTGGATTGATGAGCTTCGTTGCTCTTTAGAGACCTGCAAGGAACTAAATGTCAGAGGACCCGGGGTGGCTAACTCGGCGAGGTCGCTCCGATGCTTAAGTTAGTACTCTCATAGTAGACTGCGAGCTAAAAATCACAAAGTATGAGAGCTAGAATTTGCTTACTTGCTTACTTTTTTACTCGCCTCCTTGCCATTGGGGTTGGTGTCTTTATATAGGCATTGTTTGGTGTGGCCTTCACGCACCATATCCGAGATTTCCGCGAGGTCATCTAAGTGGTCGAGATTCCTGGAGGTAACCGCCATGCATGTTGACCACCCTCCAAATCGTTCGGCACGTGGGCCAACTTCTAAGGATCGTGGGATTGTTTGGATATGCATGCCGAATTCGTCGGCGAGCACGTCTTGCAAGTTGCCAGGTCGGCGTATGTGCTAGGTCGCCAGGTCGCACTTGGGCCAGGCTGCCAGGTCGGTGCCTGTGCCAGGTCGCCAGGTCACGCTTGGGCCAAGCCGCCAGGTCGGTGCCTGTGCCAGACCGCCAGGTGGGACACCATCAACTTGGCTAAGGCAAGTTGTTGTCAAAGTGGTTCCGAGTGTCACATATTTGTTCTAAGGTGCCATGTGTCAATATCATTAGAGGGCCAAATCCGCCCTCATCAAAAAACAAAAACCAACCATTTTGTTGAACACCCCCTGAATCATCAACACTGTTTTTTGAATTTAAATAATAACCTCCAACTATTTGCACAAAAAAAAATTAAATATATATCACTAATTCATTGTTAATTGGGTTAGAAGATCAGTTTTTTCTTGGTTATTCACTCTTAGCATAACTCCTTTTGTTGGTTTAATCAGCTTCTTTGTGGATTCGACACCTAAAGCTACGCTTCAACGACTACTTAGCCAAGGGTAATAATTTTGGGCGAGACAATGGGTAAAATGGTTAGAAAAATATCATAAAGGGTAATTTTGTCATTTTGAAATTATTTAATGCACACCTGATGTCATGTGACGGTGTTGAGTAACGATCAACTAATAGTAGGGACCTATTAAACACAATTGAAAGTTTAGGATACTGTGGAGACACGTTTTAAAGTTCAGGGATTGAATTGACATAACCCCCAATGTTTAGGAATCTTCCCTACTTTTAATACACAAATGCATTATTATAAAAAGCCTCAAAAGTGGATCAATGTACAAATTGAATTGACATTTGCATTATTTTCAAACATAGGCAATTTGTTTGGGAAGAGTGCAAATGTTGGTTCAGTGTATATATGCATTATGGCTTAGTTTTGTTAGTGTTTAGTAAGAATGCATTTGTGTATTGGAAAAGACAATAAATATAGATTTCAAAGTTAATTTATTGAAAAAGACAATAAATATAGATCATCCAAAAAATGATCTATGTCCACACATTCCAAAGTTAATTTACAAAAAAAAAAAAACTGTTTCAACACATTCCAATATAATCTATGTCCACACATTGCAGACATGATGGGTCCTAGTCTCATAGTGAGATGTGTGGAGACAAACTATGGTAAAAGCATGTTGGGACAATTTTGGTTGTGAGCATATTCCAACTCCCAAAAATGGATGCGATCTTTGCCGTTAAAGTTGGTTAATGTAAAAATAAGGTAGATTCTAATTTCTGAATTTATGTTATACCTATTACAACTAACAATTATTTGGCAAGAGTACAAAATTATCAATGCAAAAGAAAACTAACTTTACATTTTTATGAACCATATGTATACCATTTTTGTCGAACATTTTTGTATTTTCACCAATCCAAAAATGCCACATAGGTTCCAAGATACACAATTTTAAGTTAACTTTTAATTTCTACAGATGAACAGCACGTCTGTGCAGATCAGATTAGAACATTTAGTGGGTATTTGGCATCAATGTCATTTCTTAGAAAAATGGTCCCACATTGGTGTCACCTCTGAAATCCTTTTTTTTTTTTTTTGGAAAATGCCTAATGTTTGGTTAGCTAATTTCTAAAAAACGTTTGCCCAAGCCACACCTTGGAAATTAGGAAAGGTGTGATTTGAGAAAATGCCCTTTTTGGTGTTTTCTTGTTTTTTCTACTATTGCTAGCAATAATTTTCAAACATGACATTGAAAAACTCTTATATGGTAGTAACAACAATGATACTAAATAAAAAACTCGAAAAAATGTTTTCTAAGAAAATGGCACGCTTATGCAACACTATTTTATGAGAAATGCCTCTCAAGAAATACATTCCAAACACCACTTTAGATTGTGTTTGGCACCATTGCCACTTTTACTTGCAACATTTTAGGTTGATCAATACAAATTGTTATAGAAACACTAAATTCGAGTTTTCTAAAGAACCATTAATGTTTCTTTGGAAATTAACCTCAAATTTAGTGTTTTTTCTATAAATGCTATACCTAATCTAATGGATACATTTTTTTAATGGAAGTGGTTGTTTGATGTGATGTAACAAAATAATTTCTCAAAAATTTGTATTGACCAACACAGAACATTGCAAGTAAAATGACAATTGTTACCAAACACAACCTTAGTAAGCACACCCAATAACCATTCAATTAACTTTTTTTTGACACCTTTGGCATGTATACCCCCAACCTACCCTTGAAAATATTTCAAACAAATTTTTAGAACAATTCTTAGAATATTTATTGAGTGATTATCGATTGTGATCACAAAGTTGTGCCTTCTCTTAAACGTTATTATCTCATCAAATAAACACAATTCTAAAATTTCAAGATTTTGGCTTTAACAACTCTGAACTTTGTGAAAAGGCCAATTTTGATTCTAAGGCTTAATTTGGAAAGAACACAAATACAAATATGAAGAGTATAAAACCTTATATTTTGTATTATTTTGCATATATTTGTGATATACATATTTGTATTCATACTCTTACCAAACTGAGCCTAAAGAATATAAAGGACCATTTAAACAAATAGCATTTGAAATGGTATTGACAGATACAACGTTATTTGGCACTGTTGAAGTTTGAATAAAAGATCACTTTTGACCCTAAAATTTAAAAATTAGTCAATTTAATAAAGTTAATTAGGTTAATTAAATGATCCTAAAGTTTTCGTTTTATTTAATTAAGTTAATTAATTAAATTAACTAAGTTATACTAATTAAGATAATTAAGTAAATTAAACAATTAAATCAATAATTAAATTAATTGAGTAAAGAAAGTAAATCAATTAGATTAAATGAACAAAGTTAATTGTTTACCCTTGAAAATATTTAAAACAAATAATATAATTTAATTGGATTAAATTTTTTAGATCGAAATTGGCCTTACATATATATTCACAACTTACCCTTGAAAATATTTTTTGTTTAAAACAGATTTTTAGACAACCGTCAGAATATTTGTTGGGTGATTATCGATTATGCTCACAAAATTGTGACTATTCTTGAAAGTTATTATCTCATCAAAGTACCAAACAAACACAATTCCATCAAACAAACACAATTACGAAATTTCAAGCAATCATTTTTCTCCACGTTGCGACTTATCTTTTTCGGTGCGCTTTTTGGCGTTGGCCACTATTTTTTTTCCTAACCTTACGACAAGACAACACCACTTTGATGGGATTTTACTGGATAAATACGGCGGCCCAGTTCAATATACAGTCCCGTTCCAGTCCCGTGGACCCCAAGATTGTCAATTCTCACCGTTCCACAACGATCAATGGGGTGTAGGTGAAGCACTACCATGTGTATACACGTTGCACCACTATCGACAGATATAGCACACTGGAATCTTGGCTTCTGCTCACTCGGAAATGGCCACTACTCTGGTGCAGCTCCCAGCGGTCGTTAATGGCAGTTTTCAAAGGAGTGATGTTTCGTTCATGTGTACCCCAAAATCTGAAAATCTGTACTTCACTATTTCTCCTCCATGCACTTTTCAGAGAAAAGGGTCTCGGATTAGGTGGGTGTTAAGTGTTATCTCCATTTTTTTTTTCTAACTTAACTTGGTTTGTCTTTGATTATGCCTATCTGTTCAGACTAGATGCAGATTTTATCTTGTCTCCGATGCAACAGAAGAAATAATTAACTATATAAAATAGTTAAAAAACTGAAAATGGCAATACGGAATCCTGGTTGGTTTTTGTGTGATATATTACTTGAGTTGTGTTTTTGTTAATCTAAAATGGGTTTCTTTCTCTTTTGTTTTGTGTTTTTCTTTTTTCAGTGATTGGTAAGTTGAAATGTGCATTTAGAAAACTGAGTGGGTTCGATTTTTTTTTTTTTTTTTTTTTGTTTCTGATGGATGGTCTAAATTGAGCCATTTTGGCGAACTTCCTACAGATGCCAATCAACTAGTACTGAAGAACCAAAGACGAGAAGAAATCTACTTGACAATGCGAGCAACCTTCTTACAAATTTGTTAAGTGGGGGGAGTATGGGAACAATGCCCATAGCTGAAGGCGCTGTCTCTGATCTGTTTGGCCGACCACTTTTCTTTTCACTCTATGATTGGTTCTTGGAGGTGGTTATCCTTCTTCTCTTTCTATGTTTTATTGTTTATATTGAGTTCTGCTTAAGATATGTATTGAGGATTGTAATTTGTTCATGGAGAGCTTCAGAGCTATTTGTTCCTGCCTTCCAGATGTGGAAATATGTTAGCATCGAAGATAGGGAAATCACATTTTAATCTGTTGTATAACAATTACTGGGACTCTAGTCTGGCTTGACCATGCATTGACATTATTAATAAAGTGATACTTCTTTGTGCTTTACTTTGGTTTCTTGTTCCTATTTCCATCATCATCATCATCATCATCCAAACCTTATCTAATATATGGGGTCGGCTACATGAATCCTGTTTCACCATTCTGTTCTGTTTAAATTGTTTCCTATGTTCCATACTTGGTGCTATATTCCTGCAGTGTGTTAAAATGTTTTATCGTTCTTATTTTTCCCACTGTTGGCATATTTGATAAATTCATCATTGTCATAATTATCTGCCTTGCACCACTAAAGTGGGTTTGACAGCATGGATCCTGTCCAATCATTTTGCTCTATGATCATGTATTCTGGTTTTATTACTAATATCCTAATTTCATTTTCCGGATTTGTTTTGACAGCATGGTTCAGTCTACAAACTTGCTTTTGGACCAAAATCATTTGTTGTTGTATCAGATCCAATTGTTGCAAGACATATTCTCCGTGAAAATGCATTTTCGTATGACAAGGTATTGCGTATTACTCCTTTTGTTTGTTGATTTGTTCTTATTAGAGTTTTATGTTCATGCTTCTGAACTTGGCCCTGAAACCTGTATTTCTTATAGCTCGGAGCTCCCGATTACAATTTCTTTCCTCTTTTAATCCATTAATCATGCTTTAAAATTCATTGGGTCAATGCTACGAAATTATGGGAAGTAAGTTTTCTAGAGCCCTAAAGCCCTAAGTTTTAGAGGCTTGTAAATTGTTGGGAGGCTGGCCAGGAAGACAGAACTTGGAAGGTGGGGCCCAAATGGCGTTTCTTGGTCAAATTGTGATTTCTTACCATACATAGTGCCGTGGTTACACAGTGGACCCATTTCTGTGGCATTGGGTTAGGTACCCTCCACATTTCACCAAGTTTTTTTTTTTTTTTTAAATTATTATTAAAATCTTGCCTGCTTCTCTTCATGCCTTCGCAGGATATTGATTATCTTAATAGTTTCATTTGCACCCTTTGCTCCCATTTTCCTGTTCTTTCTGTATTGCCAAAAGCTTACAGAGGAGGAAGCCCGCTTGAACTAAAGGATAAGGTTGAGCAGGAGAGAGACCAATTGAAAGGGAAAATCATCAGGAGGAGAGTCCTCTCTCTTCTATGCTGGATCAACCTCCAAAGAATTCCAGTGTTTCAGGATCACCTGAAAAGGTATCTACTGGAAATCCTTGTGTCTTCCTTGGCAACCCTTTCCACTGCAATAAAGTTTGCAGAGTAGTTCTCTTAAAGCACCAGGTGCTGCTGGTTGGTATAGGTGGGGTTATTTTGGTCTTGAAGGGAGCCATTTTTTTACGCCTTTTAACCAGAACTGAGAGATGGAGACGTCCAAACTTTTTTTTTTTTGATCAGAAAGAAATTTTATTAATAAAGTAGCAAAGGTTGCAATCAGTTACAAAAGTTATAGATAGCAGAAAAGCATTAATCTAATCTGCACCCACAAACAATCAGTTACAGTTTTGCCTAGTACAATGTAGATTTATTTTCCCCTTGTTTTGCTAGGGTATCCACCACCCCATTTGCGCTTTGTTTGACCCAACCAAACTGAGAGTTGATCCTCCTTGTAAGTATGTCAATTTCTTTGAAGATAAATTTGAGCTTCCAAGGTACTGAAGTGATGTTTTTAGCCCAAGAAATGACCAGTAGTGAGTCTCCTTCTATTTCTAAGTCTGTTATTCCTATCTGCTCAGCCATCTTTAGACCTTGAAGTAGGGCTAGAGATTCAGCCTGTATTGAGTCACCAATACCTATTGGTCCTGAGAATAGTGCCACCACCACACCTTGATGATTTCTAATCACACCCCTATGCCTGCCCTTCCTGGGTTACCAAAAGAACTCCCATCAAAATTTAGTTTTAGTTTAGTGTAGGGGTATTTCTGTCTTTATACTTATGTTGAGGTTTCTGATCTGTAATATTATATTAGAACTAGTGTCCCTCACTTAAGTAAGGGCACATGTGTCTTTTCCATTATGTTAGTAATACAAAACATGTCCGGCCGAATGGGAGAGGTGATTTTTTTCCCTGATTCGAACCAGACTTTTCTTCTCCCCTTTTCTCCTCCTTTCTCTCTCTCTTTCCTTCTTCTTTGTTCTCTCTTCTTGGCTGTTATCGGACTAACAGAACTCAAAGGCAGGCCGAATCATAATATGGTATCGGAGCTCAACTAAGCAACTCGGATCTGCCCAGATTTCTATTTTCTGTGCACTCAATCTAGGGTTTTCTCTTGATTTCTCTGCCATCGATTGGAGATAAGGGAAAGGGCTGAAAAGAAGTGGTTGCCCTCTTCCCTTGGAGGTTTCTATGCCTCCAGTTGTGTTGTTTATGGTCGGTTGCTGTGGTTTCTAAGAAGCCCTCCCCTAATCGATGAAGAGAAGAGGGCTGATTCGTGTGGTGCAGTGGGTGTCTTGTGTGGTCTGATTTTCTTCTTGTGTGGTTTGTTTTTCGGGTGATGAGGTAAGAGATTTCTATGCATATTTTGTTATGAATCAAATAGGAAGTATGTTTTAG